GTGCGAGCTGAAGGCGAAGCTGGGGTTGAAGAAGGACGACGACATGGCCAGGGCTGGCGGCGCGGGCACCCGGCGGCGCTGCGCTCAGGTCGCCCGCGGCCCCGACCCGCGCCGCGCCATCGCCGCCACCGCCGCCGCCGCCACCGCAGGTGCGAGCGCCCCTGTCCGCCGGGCCTGCCGAGCGTCGCCACCCCGGGGCTGACGGACTCTGGGGCAGGCGGGGTGCGGGTCCGGTGCGAGCAGCGGCCACAGACGAGGCGCCTCCGCCCGGCCGGCCGCGGCGCCGCGGGGCTCCGGAGCTGGTGCAGCCCGAAAACACTGGCGGGAGCGCGCGCGGCGGGTGGGGGGGCCTCTCCGGCTGCAGGGGGCACTGAGATGCGCGGGAGGGGAGACCGCAGGCTGGGGGGGCACCAGACGCGTGGAGCGGGAACGCGAGGCTGAGGGACACGGGGCCGAGCGGGGGGGCGCGGCAGCGCAGGGGGAGGGGTGGCAGGGAGATGTGCGGAGGGACACCGCAGGCTCGGGGGAACTGAGGCTGGGGGGCACAGAGACGCAGGACGGGAGACCCGGAGGCGGAGACGCGGGGGCGGGCGTCCACGGAGACTGGGGAGGGGTCACGGTGGCGCGGGGTCAGGAGCCGCAGGAGGAGACGTGGAGATGGGGGGGGCACGGCCGCACGTGCGGGGGTGGGCGCTGTGGCACGTAGGGCTGGGAAACAGCGCGCCGGGCCGCAGGGGACGCGCCGGGCCCTCGCGCGGGGTCAGGCCTGCACGCAGGTCCAGAGGCCTCTTGGGTCGGGCCCCAGGGCCCTCTGGGTGGCGCCCGCGCCGCACGGAGACCGACCACCCTGCAGACGGGCCGCGGCCCCGCCTGGAGCGACAGCGCTGGGTGTTTAGGGTGGCGCCGCCCCCAGGCACCGTCCCCGCCGCTGAGCGCCCCGCTGCGCCATCTTGCTGCCCCCAGCGGCGGCCGAGGCGAGCTCAGCAGGGCGAGCGGCTCCGGGACCACGGTCCCTGGTCCTGAGGGAGCGGGGTCAGAGTGCAGCGAGCTCCCTGCCCCTCGGGCCTCCCGCTCTGTCACCCGCCCACTCACTCCTGGCAGAGCCCCTTGCCCAGGCCCGGGCGGGGCGTGGGAGGGGCACTTACCCCTACAAGGGCCGCCAGGCGTGGGGGGAGCAGGGACCACCGATGTGTCCCCCAGAGCCATGGGCAGGAGTTGAGCAGGGCCGGTGAGGGCTGGGCAGTCCTTGGGAGAGAGTGTCCTTCTTATTCTAAGGCAGCCCCTGTGGGGCCCTCCTTTCCTTCAGACACTGGGGGTCCTCTGCCGCGGGTGGCTCCACCCAGCTCAGGCCTGGAGGGGGGGCTGGGGGCCCTGTCGGTGGTCCTGCCTGTGCGGCTGGGGCTGCCCGGAGGAGGAACAGGTCCCGGCTGGGAGCCAACACTCAGGTCCCAGGGCTGCCGCCAGCGTGGGCGGAGGAGGGCTGCCATCCTGGTGTGGCCCCAGGTTGAGGGGGGGTGTCCCTGGCGGCGGTCCCCCCTTCCTGACCACAGGGAGGGACCCCTGGACACCTGGACCCTGTGCGGTCGGGGCACAGACCGGGGAGCTGCCTCCGTCCGGAGCCTCTGAGCCACCGCAGCCTCGGCGCGGGCGGCTCTCTGCGACCTGGGTTTGCCTGGGAGCACGCACACGTGTGCACACGCTGGCACACGTGTGCACACGCTGGCTCACATGTGCTCACGCTGGCACATGCTGGCACGCAGAAGGGCTGGACCTCTGGGGCTCCAGGGGCGCGGATCCTTCCGTGGGGTCCCTGCCGGGAGGCCAGCACCCCCACCCCACCTGACCAGGGTGCACCCCTGCTCCCTGTGCACCTCTGGGACCTCAGTGGCCCTGCTGCCCCCCTCAGGGGACACTGCCCGGAGGGGCTCCCACGCCCCCCCCCACAACTCCGGTCCTCCGGCCAGTGCTGGCTGCCCACCAGGTGCAGGGCCGGAAGCCTGGCGCTAGGATGTGGGGGGGGGGGGTCTGACCGCACGCCCCTGGGGCTGGAGACTGGGACTGCTGTCCCCCCAGGGCCCCCTGAACCCAAGGCCTCCAGGCCAGCTGTGAGCCCGGACCGTGGCTGGCAGGAGAAGGCCGAGGGGACGGGAGAAAGCCCTGCGGCCGGGGGAGGGCTGCGCGGAGAGCCCGGAGCCCGCGTCCTGTGTGCCAGGCTCCGCAGGACCCTCCCCCTGGCCTCAGGGCTGAAGGCCAGACCCCGCCTCCGGGAAAGAGCGGAGCACCGGAGCCCCAGGGGCGGGACCCCACGCCGTGGGCCCCGGGCTGTCTGGCCTCCCTTGTCCAGTGTCGGGACAGGAGCAGGGAGAGCGACAGGCCCCCCCGAACAAGGCATGCAGGGGTGCGGGCGGGCGGGCGGGCGGGGCCCTGCCGGCCCGGGGGTGACCAGTGGCCAGCCCCCCTTGAGGACCCCACTGTGCTGGCATGTGCTGATCCCAGGGGCCAGGAGGTCTCCGAAGACGTGCCCTTCCCCCCAAACCGGGGGTAGGCAGGACACCCCGAGCCCCTCATAAGCCCAGCAGGGCCCGGCCCAACTGTGGTGGGCTCAGGGAGCCACATGCTGGAGAGCCCACACCCTAGGGCACTGGCTGGTCAGGGCGCACAGCCAGCCACAAGGCCAGGCCGGCGGGGACGCCGCCCCCTGGCACCCCTACCACAGGACACGGAGGGCCCGGGTGTCCCAGGGCCCAGGGCCGGCACAGCCCCTTCCCACTGCCCTTGGAGGTGTGGCCCCAGCGTGACTGGGGGTGGGACAGGTGCCCCCTGTGGTCACACGGCCCCTTGCTGTGGGGGGGCGGTGGCTGTCGCTCGGAGGAACCTGCCTGAGCTAGCCCCCCGCCCGGGAGCATCGCCCCCTGACGAGCCCGTGCTGTGCTCTGCAGGGAGGGGTGGGAGGGGCTTCTCCCACACACCAAAGGGACCCCGGAAGGTGGGGCACAGCCTCCCCAGGCAAGGGAAGATGTCCAGAGTGCCGGGCTGGCCCGACCGAGGGCCACCCACGTCCCCCAGGGGGACACGCCACGGCCTGGGAGGAGGTGCAGCTTGAAAGGGCTTCATCCTCAAGGAGAGACGGTCCCCGGAAGAGACAGTGGTTCCTTAGGTTTCCAGTGGTCGCGGCACAGGACCAGCCGCGGGTCTCTGCAGTGGGGGCCAGGGAGGGGCAGTGCCCGCCCCGCCCAGACACGGGGGGTGACAGCATCCCCAGGGCTCTGAGGTGGTCCCCGGGGCACCCCCCGGCCAGCTCAGCCCGGAGCAGGGAGCAGTGAGCTGGGGCCAGGGCCGCAGGCGAGGAAGGCTGCCTGGCCGTGGGCAGAAACGAGACCCGGGGGGACGCCCAGGGGACCGGCCATCTGTCAGCTCGGGGACAGGTGCGGCGGCTCCGGGAGCCTCCGGGAGCCGGCCTGCGCACCCCCCCGCCCCTTGCCCGGGGGCCCGGGAAGGTGGGCTCCGACGGGGCCGCCCTCCCTCGAGGGGCCGGGCCGGGTGGGGGGTGCGTGGTGGGTCCCTCGGCAGATCCTTGGGTGCTGTCCGTCCCTTCGAGACTTCTGTGTAATCTGCGCTCCACTGGAGGCTGTTTCTCACGCTGCGTGTTTCCTTAACCGGGGCGAAATCCACGCAACGTAAACAACCCATTCAGCCGAGGTTCAGTGTTGCGCAGCCCCAGGCGGGCACCTCCCCGGACACTGACACAGGGACGGGGCCGAGAGGTGCGGCCTTTGCCGCTGGCTCCCCCCACTCAGCACGGGGGCATCGGGTTCAGCCCTCATGCCTCAAACCCTGCACTGTGGGCCGCCAGGGGTGGGTGCCCGGGCCGCAGGGACAAGGCCACGGAGTGAGGCCCAAAGGCCGGTGGGACCTCCCTGGACAGACAGAAATAATCTCTGCGTCCCCACCCCCACCCCAGGCTCAGGGAGGCCAGGCACTCCTGCGGGTCAGGCTGCCCGGCCAGTGTGGACGTGCCAGCGTGCCCCTGGGGGTGGCCCGTGCCAGGCCGGAGTGCCGGGGGAGGGGGGCGGTGAGGGAGGCCGCAGCCCTGAGCTGCGCAGGTGCCAGGCGGCAGCAGGTATAAAGGCTGGAGCCGGCGGCTGCCTCTCAGAGCCCAGCCTGACCCGCCTCCCAGAGACTTCGAGGGAAGCCGGACGCAAGTGAGCCCCTCGGGGAGGGGGGGTCTCAGCAGCACCCCGGGGGGGGCCTTCGCCCACGGGACCAGGGAGGGCCCCAGGGAGGCGGGAAAGGGGGAGGAAGGGAGGGGCACCCCTCCCTGGGGGAGCCCCAGTTGGCAGGCAGCTGCGGGGCCCGGTCGGTCTGCAGGGACGGTGGGCGGGCATGGACGGTGTCTGAGCAGGTGGAGAGGGGGCGGTGAGTCGGGGTCAGCGCGGGGAAGCTGAGAGCCGCTCGCTGACCTCAGGACCCCCGGTGCCGAGTCGGGGGTGAGGAGGCCTGGCAGGACCAAGGGTCCAAGCCCAGTGGGCCCCCCCCACTCGGGCAGGCACGCTGAGCCAGCCCTGTCCGCAGGGGCTCCCCATGCCCCCCGTCACCCCAGAGCTCACTCGGAGACTCCCTGGCCGAAGGTGGGTGCAGACCACAGTCCCCAGGAGGCCTCAGGGGCGCCCAGAGGGGTCTGGGTGGGGTCCCCCCCAGCCTGGGGGCATGAGGACCGGTGGTCTGAGGGTCTCGGCCCAGCCTTAACGCTCTGGCCAGCTCTGGCCGAGGAGGACGGAGAGGTGGGAGGGGGAAGGAGGCCTTTCCCGGGGGGCGGGGGAGGGGGCAGGGGCGGGGCCCACTGAGGGGGCAGGGTGCACCGGGCCGTCCAGGGCTTCCAGGGTCCAGCGGGACGCTCAGGCCTGGGCTTCTCCACTGCGGAGGGAGTAGAGACCCCTCCAACCACGGCCCGGTGCGGCTCAGACCCTCGGGCCACGGGCTGCCCCTCCCCGTGGTGGGAGCATGTTCCAGAAGGTTCCACCACCTGGTGAACTTTTGAGAGGGCCAAGGAGCCTCTGAAATAGCTGCTCTGCCACGAGCCCCAGAACCCAACCCCCCCTGGGGACAGCAACTTGAGAGCTCGGCGGGTCACACGGCGCCACCGTGAGGGGCACGGGACAGCCTGGTCCCCGGCTGGGGGCCCTGCCTGTGCCCGGACCCCCGCCCACGGCGATGCTCAGGGCCCTGTGCTGACGCACCTCCGGCGGCCCCCCCGAGGGCCTGGCAGGGGCGGTGGTCGCCCTGCCCGGAGGGACAGCGTGGGCCCCCCTCAGCCCAAGGCCGGCTCCGCGGTGGGCGGCGTCCAGCTAGGAGGAGCAGGGCCCGCTGGTCTGGGGTCCGGGAGCGTGAGGTAAAGCCCCCGGGCCTTGAGTTTTGGCCGGAGGAAGTGGCAACCAGGGTAACCAGGGAGGCTTCCCAGAGGAGGCAGCTTCGAGATGGGCCTTGAGGGGTGACAGAGGGCGTCTCCCCAGCAGCACTGAGGGTCCGATGGCTGCCGCGGCCCCCTTGTCTGAGCAGAGTGAAGGAACGGGGGTGGTCACTGACCCTCGGGCCCTCAGTCTCCTTCCGTGGCACGGGGTCACCACCTCAAAGTGGCCGGCTAGAAGGACACGGCGCTCGGACCTGTCCTACTGAGGGGCCCCGGGCGCAGGGCACGGCCGGGCTCTTGTCTGGCCCCGGGGGCTCCTGCGGGTGCAGGAGCTGGCACCACGCAGGGTGCCCTCACCGTGCACACCACTAAGTGGCTCCGGTCCCCTGCAGGGCCGGGATGGACGAGGACTTCTCCTCCCAGATGAAGAAGATGGCCTTGGCCATGGGCACGTCCCTGTCGGACAAGGACATAGAGCTGCTGCCCTCGGACATGAGGCACCACGGTTCGGCCCTGCCCCCTCCCATGCCCCCCACCGGTCCCCCGCGGCCTAGGGAGCCCATCTGCAGCCCCGCCCTGGGCTGGTGGGTCTGGCCCCCCCGTGGGTGGGACGGGGCCCGGCAGCCCCCGCCCCAGGGCAGAGTCTCCCTCCCCGCCCGGCCCCCGCCAGGCCACCTGCTGACCCTGCCCGGCCCTCCCAGGCTCCTTCAACTACCTCCGGTTCTTCGAGTACATGCGCAAGTTCCAGGCCTCGGGGCAGCTGGAGAGCGCCATCCGCAAGGCCTTCCAGACCCTGGACAAGGACAAGAGCGGCTTCATCGAGTGGAACGAGATCAAGTAACAGCGTGGGGAGGCGGGGCAGGGGGGCCGTGCCGGTCCACACCCCTTGTGGGGCGCCCCTTCTCTGACCTTTCAGGAGACAGGGCCCCGAGACCCGCCTCCTGCCGGGCCTCCGTTCCCCGCCCCGCCCCCGTGACGTGGGCGGGAGCACTTGGTGAGCTGCCGGGCACCCCCTGCCCCACTCTGACAGGGGCCCGCCCCGCCCCGCCCAGGTACGTGCTGTCCACCATCCCCAGCAGCACGCCCGCCGCCCCGCTGACCGACGAGGAGGCCGAGGCCATGATCCAGGCGGCCGACACCGACGGCGATGGGAGGATCGACTTCGAAGGTGGGCCTCCCCGCGGGGCGTCTCTGCCCCCGGCCCCGCCCCCAGCCCCGCCCCCCGGCCCCACCCCGCTCCGGGGCCCCCTGCGCGTGGGCAGTCTGCGTGACGCCCCTCATCCCCCTCGGTGCGGAGCTGATTGGCTGCCGCTGCCAGGCGCCGCCCCCGTCCCCCGGAGCTCGCTGCCCTCTGCGGCGGGGCGCCAGCATCCCCGGCTCACGGATGGGGAAACTGAGTCTCAGAGATGCCGGCTGAGGGCCGCAGGGCCGAGGGGGCCACTGCAGGGTGCCGAGTGGTGGCCGGAGCTGGCGGCGGGGCGGCGGCAGTTTCACTGGGGGCTCGGGTGGGGCTCGGGGCATCAGTGCGGGGGAGGTGCGGCAGCAGGGCCCCCGCGTGCTGCAGAGGGGGCCCAGGGGGGAGGTGGGGTGGGGCAGGGTGCTGCTCCAGGGGCATGGGGTGGGGTGGGTGGGGTGGGGGGAGCAGGCAGGGTGGGGGGTCCCAACGCAGGGCCTCGGACTGGAGGAGCCCTCTCATGCAGGGGGCGCTCCTCCCGGTTGGGGGCGCCTGCAGGGCTCTGGGGGCGCACCAAGCCTGGAGGTTATTTACTAGAAATCTGTCTCCTGCTCTAGAATTTTCTGAACTGATCAAAAAGGAGAAAATTCCGAAGAAGAAGTAGCACCACGCCCAGCCCGGTGGGAGTCCCCGAGGGGCAGCGGGGGCCCACGAGCGCCCCCTCCAGGGAGGCCGGGGGATGCACCCGGCCTGCGCCAGGAACGTGGTATAAAGCCAGCATTGCACGAACGACTCGACTCGGCCAGTGTGTCTGCGGGGGCGCTGCGTGAGCTGGGGGGGGCGGGGGCACGGGCATGGGGCTCTGGGGATGGCTGGTGGCAGGGCGGGGGTATGAGGTGCTGGTGGAAGGGAAGATGGGGGGCGGGGGTGAGCGTGTCCAGCCCTTGCCCCTCTGCCCTCCCCTTGTCCCCCACCACCGTCGGCTCCCGTGCGGGGGGGTCTCACCACCAGCCCTGGCCCCTCCTGGACCCACCCTCCCCGCCCAGTGTTCTCTGGGCCCAGACCCTCAGGACCCCCTTCTCTGGCCCCGGGGGGCTCGGGGTCCAAGCCAGACTGGTTCCCCGGGGCAGTCCGAGTCCCCACAGCAGCTGTGGGCACGGTGCAGGGGCAGCTACAGCTCCGGGGTGTGGCCTGGGGGACCCCGCAGGCTCCTCGGGCCGTGCACTGAGCCGGTTCTCGCCTCCCCTTCTCCCTAAGCTCTCCCTGTGCAGACGCCTCTGTCCCTCCTTCTGCCCCCCCAGGCCTCTGCCCCACCCACACTCATGCCCCCGCCCTGTTCAGCCCCCAAGTAGGGGTCCAAGCACCGCCCAGGCACCAGCAGCCCCCACCCAGACCTCTCTCTGGGGCTCCCAGGCGCCCAGGCTGTGCAGAGGCTGAGCCCCGGTCCTCCCAGAGCCCCACCGCCCAGCCCTCCCGCCCGTCGGGCCTCTGCCGGGACAGGAGGACAAGGCCCGGACCCATCAGGGGGTGGGGGAACGGTCCACGTCCTGGTGGCAGTAGGGACTGGGCATGACTTTGGCTGGGACTCACAGCAGCAAGAGCCCACACCCAACAGGGCCATCAGAGCGTGAGGGGCAGCCCTGTGGCAACCCCTCGGGCAGTGGGTGCCCCCAGCGTGGGAGCAGGAGGGACTTCCTGGCCAGTCCGGTCTCCCAGGGTCGGGGCCCTGAACCCTCGGCCAGGCAGCAGCGCCCGCAGACAGCCCAGTGGGGCGCGGGGGCAGCGGGGCCCCCAGGAGAAAGAGAGCTTCTCCCACTCCACCCCCCGCCTGTCTCACACTGCCAGGGCCCCCTGGGTCACGGCGGGAGGTGGGCCAGGCCACCTGGCAGAGGTGGGAGGGGGCTGGGAACTCCTCCCCAGAGCTGGAGGTGGGTGAGGGGTGCAAGCGTTGGGCGGGGAGCTCAGCCAGGTTCGAGCTGGAGCAGAGGGTTTGAGCCGGGGGTGGCAGGGCCGGCCAGGCCACACGGTGGTGCAGGGGGCAGGCTGGAGCAGAGCTGAGCCCCGGATGCCCCTGCCCGGCTGCTCTGCAGAGGGGCCCTCAGGCAGCGTCCCACCCTTCCCGGGCCCCAGGAGAGACAGGCAGGGGACACACGGTGTGAAGAAATAGCGCTTTATTTCCACGAGCAGGCGTGGTGCCCCCACAAGCAGGGGAGCAGGACGCCAGGGGCGGCGGGGTCACTTGGTGCTCCGCAGGGGCCGCCTGTGCTGCTGCAGCAGCTCCTCCAGGTGGTCCGCCCGCCTCACTGCGGCCTGCAACACGCCCACCGCGGTCAGCCCGAGCTGCCCCTGCCCCGCGCCCACCGCCCACCCCTGCGGGACCCACCTCGTGCTGTTTCCGAAGGCTGCTCACGGCCTCCTCCTTCCTGGCCAGGGCTGCCTTCACCCTGCGTACACGGGGCGGGGGGTGGTCTGGGGGGCCTGCAGCCCCAGGTGCAGCAGGGTGGCTGGTGGGGGCGCCTCCGTCCCAATGCCAGAGGGACAGCTGAGCTGCCCACCCCGGCCTGCTGACCGAGTGCACTGGGCTGCCCGTAGGGGCTGGTGGCAGGAGCCCCGGGAAGGGCAAGAAGCCCCCACCCCACACCCTCTCCCCAGGCAGCTGCCAGGGGCAGACAGGAGGCTCAGGGAGGGCTGTGAGGCCCCGTGGGTGTGGGGGAGACCCCCTTGTCTGCACAGCACCTGCCTCACCCGGGCCGCGGACCATGGGTACCGGGGACTGTCCGTCTGGAGACCCACTCAGGGTGCCTGCCTGGCCCGGTCCCCCCGCTCCCCAGGATGGCCAGCTCTGCATTTGCCGGGAGAAGGGAGGGCTGGAGGAGCCAGAGCCCCCCATTGGCCGAGGCAGCGCCCCCCCGCACTCCTGGGGAAGCGCCCCCAGCACCCACCTTCCGTGCACGTTCTCCAGCTCCGCCTGCTTCTCCTGCCTCAGCTGCTCCAGCTCGGCCCGGACCCGCCGGTTCTCCTCCTCGGAGGCGGCCAGCCGGTCGGCGAACTCCTGGCGGAGCACCTGGGCCAGGCCGCTCCTCTCGCCGGTCAGCTGCTCGTTCACCTGGGCCGGCACCGACGGACGGCGTGAGCCTGCGGCAGGCAGAGGTGGGGGGCCCCCCGACCAGCCGCCCGCTCCCGCCGGCTCACCGCCTTGGCCGCGGCCAGGGCCTTGTCCTTCTGCCGCACCAGGCCCTGCAGGCGCGCGGCTTCGCCCTCGGCCTCCGCCAGCCGCCCCTTCAGCTCCGCGCACTGGCCCTGCAGCTGCCGCTCCGCCTGCCCCAGCTCCGCGAGCTCCGCCTCGTACTTGTCGCGAAGGCGCTGGATGCTGGTGAGGGACAGGCGGGGGACAGGCGGGGGGTCAGGGCGGCCCCGCGGCCCCGGGCCCACGGGCCGGGCGTACGGTCCCGGCTCCCCCCCACGGGGCCGGGCCTCACCGGCCCTCGGCGGCCCTCTCGCTCTCCTCCCTGGCCAGCGTCATGTCGGCCTCCAGCCGGCGCACCACCAGCTCGATGTCCTTGTCCCGGTCCCTCCGGATCTCCTCCTTCAGCTCGCGCTCCCGCTCCAGCAGCCAGGCCTCCTGGGGGGCGGCGCCCGCAGCGCCGGGGGCGTGGCTGAGCGGTGGGACTCCACCGGGGGACGTGCATGGGGACGGAGGGGCCTCAGCTGGCCCCAGGCCCCGTCGGTGCTCCAGGGAGGGGACCACGTCCTGTTACTTGGGCCCCAGAGGCCCCGTCCTGGTGCTGAGGAGTGCCCCTCTGGGTGCCCCTCGCCCCTGTGGGAGCCTCAGCGGGCAGCCTCTCAGAGCAGGGTGGGCACTGGGCCTCCAGAAACTCCCAGCAAGTCGGACACGCCCTCTGACCCCGCCGGCCCAACTCAGTGACCCCTGCATTCACTGCGGTGGGAGCAGGACCCATGGTGGGTCCACTGTCGCTGAGTCCGTCACCAGGCCAAAGGGCCAGGAGCATGTCCCTCAGCTGACTGGGTGTGGTGGCCTTGGGGGCAGGTGTCCAGGCGGAGGGAGGGTCGGGGGTGCTGTCCTCTGTGGTCACCTGGGCCCTGACGCAGGCCCCTGGTACCCCCTGGGGCCCCGAGGGGAGAGGCCGGGCAGCGCTGGCTGGAGCTCACAATGAACCCCCAGCCCGAGGGGCCAGACCCAGGACCTCGAGCCACACCCACGGGGAGACCCCGGCAGCAGAGGGGGGGCCGTCCCCCCACCTGCCATGCCCACCTCCTTCCGGGCGCAGCTGGCCTGCCGCATCTGCCGCTCCACCTCCAGCTGGTCCTTCAGAGCCTGCAGCTCCACCTGGGGCGGCGGGTGGTGAGGGCAGCCTGCCTGGCGGCCACCCCCAGGCTCTGGGGCTGAGCAGATGGAGGGTCTGCAGGGAGTGGCACCCCACCCCCCGCCACGAACCTGGGCTTGCAGTGCTCCCGTCCGCTGCCCCGGGGGGCTGGCCCTGGCGGTGCCCCCCACAGCCTCCCCTGCGCCCCCAGAACGGGCCCCCATTCACCGGGCCCCCAGGGACGGGTCGGGCACCGGGGAGCAAACCTGGTGCCTGTGCTCCAGCTCCTCCCGGCCCTTCTCGAACTCGGCCCTCAGGGCGCGGCCCCGGGCGGCGCTGCTCTCCTCCAGCTGCTGCCGCAGCTCCTCTAGGTCAGCCCGCTGCCTGCGGGCGCCCGGAGGTCAGGGCCAGGGGCCAGGGATCAGGGGTCAGGCTGAGGTGGGCGGCAGGCAGCCCCGCCCCCGCACCTGGCTGCCTGCTGGCCCAGCCGCTCCTTCTCCTCGGCCACCTCGCCGTAGAGCCGCCTGCGCAGCTGCTGCAGGTCCCGCTGCTCCTGCTCCAGCTGCTGCTCGAAGCTGCGGGGGAGGGGCCTGCTGGGGGCGTGGCCGGGGCCGCGAGCCGCCCTGCTCAGCCCCCGCACTTGCATCCTGACCCTGAGCCCTCGCCAGGGGCCCCGGCGCCACTCCGGGGTCCGGGGCCCCTCTCTGCTCTGCTCGGACCCCGGCGGCTGCGTCCCGGGAGGCCGCCAGGACCCCGGCCGCCAGGACACCTACCGCCGCTGGGCGCGCTCGCGCTCCTGCTGGGCCAGCGCCTCCTTCTCCTGCTCCAGCTGCTCCCGCAGCGCCTCCGCCTGGCGCCCGTAGCGCTGGGCGGCCCGCTCGTCCGCCTGCTGCAGCTCGGCCGCGTGCAGGCCCCGCAGCCGCTTCACCTCCTGCTTGTGCTTGGCGATCAGCTTCTGGATCTCGGGCTCCAGGCCTGGGGGTGGGGGTGGGGGTGGGGACGCGGCGCTGCAGCAGCCCCGCCCTCTGCCCCCCACGCAGCAGGGTGTGGGGGCCCCCACCGCTCCCTCACGGGGGCGACAGGGCTGCAGTCCCGCCAGGGGACCCCGAGGGGCTCCAGCTGGTCCCCCCCCCGTCGCTGGAGGTGCTGTGACAGCTCCCCCACCGGGTCCCTCTGGACGGCGGGGTGTCCCCCTGGCAGCCCAGGTCCCCCCAGACTCCTGGGAGGAGGGGGTCCCCAGGGAGAGAGCATCCTGGGGTAGGAGCCACACGACAGGTGGCAGGAAACCTGGGACCCCCACCCTGAGTGCCCACCCAGCTTGTTGCCCTGGAAGGCAGAGGAGCCGGGACCCGGGGAGGGAGGAAGTGGGGGGGCCTGAACCGCCCGAGGCCGGCCTCGCCTCCCCGCCAGCCATGGGGCTGGGACACCCGTCCTCACTCCGAGACCCCGCCCCTGCCTCGGGGTGGAGGCCGGTCTGCCTGCAGGCGCGCCCGCGGGGCCGCCCACCTCGGACGGTGATCTCCTTGATCCTGCGGGTCTTCTCGCTCACCCACTTCTCCCTGCGCGCCCTCTCGGCCGCGCTCATCAGCTCCCGGAGCTGCTTCATCTCCTGCGGGCGGGTGGGCGCCGGGCGGGCGTCAGGAAGCGTGCCCGCCCGCCCGCCGCCTGCGGGGTCTCCCGTGAGGGCTCCCGGGGCCCTCGGGCGGTCCTGGCAGGAGCCCGGGGGGGGGGGGGGCGTGGCTGGAGAGGGCTCACCAGCTCGTGCTGCTCCCGCAGCTGGGCCTCCCTGTCCTTGCGCCGCTGGTCCCCCTGCTTCAGCTCGGCCACCACGGCCTCACACTTGTCCCCCAGGTTCCTCTTGTCTTCGATCAGCTGCGGTCAGGGCGCGAGGTGAGCGGCTGCGCTGAGGTGAGGGCGCACCCTGCGTGGTGCCCGACACCCGAACCTCCCCCCGCCCGGGGGTCCGCCACCCTGACTGGGGCCGGGAGGGCTGCCCGCTGGTGCCGGCAGAGCCCGGAGGAGGACGTCTGGGGACGGTGGCCCTGGCTCCGAGCCCTTCGCACTGTGTCCACGTCAGGTTCGCCCTGGGAAAGGGGTCACCCCGCTGTCCCGGTCACCCAGCCTGCGGAGGAGGGCCTGCCGTGGCCCCCCAGGGACTACGACTGCCAGGCAGAGGGTCCCCCCCTCTGGGCCCCCCTTCCTGAGGGACCCGGCTGTGGGGGTCCACCGAATGGGGCTGGGAGCCTGGACCGGCCTGTGCGCGGCGGACACCACGGCCCCACGGGAAGATGCTGCCCGTTTCGGAGAGGGGAGGACACGCCCGGCCAGGCCGGCCTCGGAGCCTCGCGGAGCCCCAGCTGCACTGCAGAGGCCCCGCCTCCTCTCCCCGAGCCTGGGGGCCTGGACACCCCGCCCCGGCGCCCCGCCCCCCAGCGGCGTCACCTGGTCGATGAAGCTCAGGTGCCGCTGGATGGCGGCCTCGTAGTGCTCCCGCTGCTGCCGCAGCTGCCGGCCCAGCTCCTTCTCCGTCTCCTCCACCCTCCGGGCCGTGAGGTCCCGCTGCTGCGCCTGCGGGCGCGGGGAGGGGCCCAGGGGAGAAGGACCGCTCAGGGGGCGGGGCTGGCAGAGCACGCTGGGGGGGGCGGGCGGGACGGGGCGGCGGCCTCACCAGTGCCCGCTGCAGCAGCGCCACGGCCCGCTTCTTCTCCTCCACCTCCAGCCTCAGCCGCGTCACGGACGCGCTCGCCGCGGACGCCGACTCCAGGGGCCCCGGCCCCTCCTGCAGCGCGAGCCCCCAGGACACAGGCCGGGTCAGGCAGGCCCGTCCCTGGGGAAGGCAGGCCTGCCGCCCTGCCCCTCCCCGCCCCTCCCGGGCCCCGCCCCCACACCTGCAGGGCTGCGGCCGTCCGGTCGTGCCCCGACTGCTCCATCGCGTCCAGGAAGCTCAGGATGCTCTGCAGCTTGGCCTCCGAGAGCAGCGTCCCGTCCTCGGGGGGCCCGGCACACGCACCGAGCTTCCCGAACTTCTCCAGGTTGTCGGCCGTCAGGGAGCTGGCGCCGTCCTCCTGCGGGGGCGGACGTCAGGCGGCGCGTCCCCTGGAGTGGCCCTCCAGCAGCTCCTCGGGACCTGGGCAGGCCAGGCTGGGGCAGGGCGGGGCAGGGCAGCTGGGCCCCGTCTGGGCTACTCAGACCCTCGCAGGGCAGGGACGGGGCCACCCCAGCTCTGAGGGTCCTCCACCTTCGCAAGCCACTGGGTGGCCAGGGATCCACAGGGCCCCAGCTGGTCCTCTTTGGGGTCCCCAGGGAAGAAAGAAGGAGCCCTCGGGGCCGACACCAGGGCTTGGGGCTGGGTGAGGGGAGGGCCCTGCAGCCACCTCGTCGGTCCAGGCGTATCGGTCCTTGCGGTAGGCCCGGGGGCGGGGCAGCGGCTCCGGCTCTGCCTCCAGCAGCTTCAGGGTGTCCAGCAGCTCATCCAGGGCCGACCTGCACCCGGCCCTGCCCCCGGCCGGGCTCACGGGCTCCAGGGCTCTGCCAGCCCCGTCCCGGGAGCTGGCGTCCTGCAGCAGACGGATGGGAGAAGCTGGCGAGGACCGTGGGGGCGAGGCCGGGCACCCACACAGCCCCATGGACCGGGCGTGCCCAGACCGAGGGGACGTGTCGGGGCTGGGCCACCTCATCCTGGTGTCCTTGCCGCCACCTAACCCCTGGACTCCCGGCTGTCTCTGGAGGCGCGGGCACGGCCCCCCAGGGCACCTGTGACGGCCCAGCAGGCCCCCGTCCCTGCGGTGGGGCGGCGAGTCCCGCCTGGGCAGCCTCTCCTGCTGTGGGGGCCCGCCGCCGCGGAGGGGCAGGGGCAGGGGCAGGGACAGGGACGGGGCGGGGAGCGCTGTGACCGAACCTGCGGCTCCTCCTCTGGGAACTGCCGGGACCCTGGGGGGGTGGCGGTGGCGGGGACGGGCCGGCAGGGGTCCCCTGGGCCTGAGGCACAGCGGCTGGTCCCTGCAGGACAGGACAGGACGCAGTGTCGGCCCCCCGGGAGAGCCAGGCCTGGGCAGCAGGGCCCAGGGAGCCTGGCCGCCGCCGCTGCTCCGCGCGCCCCCGCTGCCTCGGCTCACCGGCGTCATCGGCCCTGGGGGCCCGAGGGCTGTCGCGAGCGCCGTCTCCCGGCCTCGGCCGGGGCTCCCCCGTCTGCCAGGTCCCCTTCGGCAGCCCAGGCTCGGCCTCACCCGATCTCTGGGCCCGCTTCTGCTGCAGCTCCTGCGGGGGCGCCCCGTGAGCAGCCGCACCCATGGGACTCTCCGGGGCGCACCCTCAGGCACACCCGGCACGGGGCTCCCACGAGGCCCGTGCCCCCCGGCACCTGGATGGCGGCCCGCCTGGCCTGGCGTGCCTTCTCCTCCCCGGCCTTCCTCCGGGCCGCCTCCTTCTGCAGGTGCAGGTGCAGCAGGTCCCCCTCCCCCAGCCGCCGCCGCTGTCCCTGGGAAGGCGGGGCCGCGGATGTGGATGTGGGCTTCCACGGCCCCCCCACGGCCCCCCACCCGCCCGCCACTCACCGCCCCACAGAGCAAGCCCCCTCCGGACCGGTCCTTCAGGCACGGAGACGGCTCTGCACCGTGGAACAGGGATCCCCAACCCAGAACCCCAACTACTGACCCCTCAGCCAGGGCGGACCAGCCACTACTTCCCGGCGCCTGGGCCCCACTGCCCGTGCGAGCGGCTCAGGGCAGGGAGGAGGGCAGGCCCCCGACGGGGCGCGGACCTCGGGCTGTTCTGGCTTCCTTCCCATGGTCCCAGAAACCCCGCCCCGCGCAGCCATGAGTCCCCCGGGGTGCGGCCCGCCCCCCCCACACCCACCTCTCCCTTGGGCGCCGGCAGGGGCTCCCGGCCGGAAGCTCGGGCTCCGCGCCGCTGTGCCTGGCGCCGCCGGTACCAGCGCTGGATGGTGACGGCAGCCTGGCTCACCTGGTGGATGAACCTGTCGGGGGGGCCCTCAGTGCATGCGCCAGCCAAGCCCGCCTCCCGCGGCCGGCCTGGGCACCACGGCTCCGCCCTGGCCCCGGGCCTGCCCTTTCCAGACGCTTGGGGTGAACAGACTCAGACCACACGTGGGGTCTCCCCAACCTCGTCTCGTTAACGGCCGTTCAGTGGGGGTTCCCGTCACCGGGGCCTCACGCTCCCTGCTGGTCTCCTGCCCCCACTCACCTCTCCGCCTCCTCCTCCGTCACTTCCCTCCGTCCGCGCAGGCTCTCGGGGGCCCCCGTGTTGACCTGGGCCATGGGGGGCTTGCTGCCGGTCAAGTTCTTCTGCGGCTTCGCAGAGCCGCCACTCCCGCCCTCGTCGGTGGCCGCCTTGATGAGGTTGCTGAGGGCGGCAGAGACAGACAGGCTCACAGCACCCAGCCCGGCCCCCGCACGCCCCGGGGACACGCTGTCCACGGGCACGGTGGCCGCCTTGGGCCTGCACCCCACTCCCACTGGCCGGTGTGTCCCCCACGCGCTCGCCTGGTGGCACCCGCACTTCTCATTTAAAAAGCAAGAAGGTCTCAGGAGTCGCCGGACCCCAGAGCTGGCGGGGTGTCAGGAAACCCCGGGGCCACCCCGGACTGAGCACCCACGCTCGGCCAAGGTCCACTGAGACTCAGGGAGACAGTGGCCTCCTCAGCAGGACCCCAAGGCCGGACCCCCCAGGCCCAGTCCGCGTCCCCCTGCCGGTGCCACGAGGGTGGCGGGGGCAGCCCTGGGGTCCCAGGCCTGGGCCGGCACCCCCACGCACACCCAGGCCGCTGGGGCGGGCCCTTACTTGAGGGAGGGGGCCGTGTGGTTGGAGCTCTTGGGGGGCGAGGTGTCCGCAGGGGCGTAGCAGTTGTGCACCATGGTGGTGACACAGTTGCCCACGGCGGCCTTGTTGCTCCTGCCGGAGAGACGGGGGGTGGGGGTGGGGGTGGGGTGGCCTCAGGCCCTGGGAGGCGGGTGACAGGTTCCCGAGTCACGCTCGGCAGCCCCCCCTGCACCCCACAGAGGGCCCCCCCCGAGACGTGCGGGCTGAGCCTCAGCAGAGCGCCCCCAGGGAGCCCGACGGGGTCGCCTGCACGGGTCCCGCCTGCGCCCGACCCCCGCGGGCGCGAAGCCCCCAGCAGCAGGCCTGTCGGGTTCCCCCAGCCAGGGCGGACCCCCGGGTTCGGGGTGCCCCCGGGCAGCGCCTTCTGGGGCCCTCGCTCGAGACAGGGCACGCACTCACTCACTCGCTGGACCCATTCATGCACTCAAGTCACAGCGGCTGCCCCCGTGGGTGGCCCCGCCCCGCCCCGCCCCCGCAACCCCGAGGAGCACCTGTTGTTGGCGGTGAAGCGTGGCGCGAGGGGCGGGGCGAGCACTCTTCTCCGTGGGCCCGCCGGCGCGACCGGGGCGCTGGGACCCCGGGCCTCGGGCGGCGAGGTGAGGGCCCTGGGCTGCTCGTCCTGCCCGTGGACACAGACGCCGCCTGAGCCGGTGACCTACGCACGCTCGCCGACCCGAGCCCCTGCCTGCCCCCCGCCCCCACGGCCTCACCCACAAAGGGCCGACGGGATGGTCAGCAGGCGGGGGGACGTTCCTGCCCCCCCCCGTTGGGATGCTGTGGCCAAGGCTGGCACGACCCCCGCCCCCGCCGACCCGTCCTGCAGGGACAGCGAGACAGGGAAGGCCCGGTGCCCCTCCCGAAGGGACGGCCGGACCGGACCCAGCCCGCTCTCACCGGGACGCTCCCTGCGGCCCCCTTCTCGCCGGGAGCTCCGCTCGGGCTGGCCGGCCTCTTCCTCCCGCCGGGGCCGCCCTCCGCCAGCGTCGGGGAGTCGGGGGGCTCTGCCGGCCTGGGGGGGGGGGCAGTAGGCGGGGACAGGCCGTCACCCGCCTGGGCCGAGGCAGCTCCCAGGCGTGCAGGCGGGGACAGCTTACGACAGGGCGGGAGGGCCAGCGCCCCCGGCCGGCACTCTGTCCCCGAGCCCGGGGCTCCAAGTAATGTGTCCCGGTCCTGATCCACCCGCCGACCGTCCCTGGAGGAGGGAGCCCCCCCCCCGGGGCCACCCCGACGACGCCCCAGGAACAGCACAGCGAGGGCGGAGGAGGGGCAGGCGGGGGACGTGGGCCCCCAGGTCCGCATGCACTCCCCATGCAGACACAGCGGACACAGGGGGTCCAGGCTCGCCCCGCCCGCCCCGCCCGGCGCTGGCCCCAGGGAGGCCGACCCCAGGCCCCGCACTGGCAGGGGCGGAAGGGGGGCTGACGCGGGCGGGGCAGGAGCCGTGGGGTCACCTGGAGGGCTCAGCCCAGGCCTGCCTGGCCTGCGGCCGGTGGACCTGCGTGGTGCTGCTGGACCGGCGAAGGTTGTTGATGGCCCGGGGGCCCTCGGGCCCCGCGGCGTCCTGCGGAAAGGAGGAGACTGCTGGCGCGCGGGAGAGGCTCTGGGCGCCTGCCCGCCCCTTCAGTGCTGGGGGGGCCCCCCGCGCAGGACAGATCTGGAGAGAGGAGGCGGGCGTGCGGGGAAGGGGGGTGGCAGGCGTGCCCGAGACCCCGGGCGAGGCCTCCGGCGGCCTCCTGTCTTGGACAGAATGGGTGCCCCTCACCCTGGCTGGCAGCAGGTCCGAGAGAGGACGCCTGACCCCAGGGCCGCAGCCAAATCCGTGCGTCTTCACGGCCGCCCCCCCCGACCCGTGGGCCCGCCCCCTTCCCCAGGGGCCAACCCCATTTCTGGGGAATGCAAACAGACCCCAGTGTCGACGGAGCAGGAGAGGGACAGAGAGAGCTGGGCGGGCAGCGCCTAGGTCCTGCCTCGGGCCAGCTGACTCCGGCCTCGCCTTCTGGGGGTTAGCTCCCTGGTCCTCCCTGCCCCCCCGATGGCCCCGGAATGGATGCAAGGAGACCACTGAGGTGTGGAGCGTACCCCGCAGTCCCGGGGCCCCCCTAACAGCCACTCCCCAGGAGGCGGGAGACCCGGAGACCCCTGCACGCCGCCGGCCCCAGCACTCACCAGCGCCTTCCTCCTCAGCTCACCGCCCACGGCCACAGAGACGGAGCGGACGAGGGGCTTGGCAGCGGATGCACTGCTGGGGCGCCGGGACACGGGTGGGGGGAGCCCCGTCAGACTGAGATCCAGGCCTTCCAGGCTGCCCTCGTGGGGGCCGGGGGCGCCGCAGGGGGCCCGGGGCCCTTTCATGGTGGACGCGAGAGCCCTGAGCAGGCAAGAGGCGGTGCGGTGGGTGAGGCCCTCTGCCGGCCCGGGTCCCCCACCCACCACCCCGCCAGGTCTCAGGGAGCCTGGCCTACCTGCCACCAGGCACCCTGAGAAGCCTGGGGTCGCCCCCCAAAACAAGGCTGCCGTCAGGGCAGGACTCCTGGGACTAGACGGCCTCTCCCTGGAGGGGTCTGGCCTGCCAGTGGTCGGGCCGCAGGCTGGCGGTGCTGGGCATGGGCCGACCCTCCACTTAGACCCTGAGACCCGCCCTCTGCCTGAGCCTCGCGCTCCCGTTTGCAGGGTGGACAGAGGAAGCGCCACCTACCGGACCATCACCGCGGTCAGGCGAGGTGGCCGGAGGCTGGCACGCGGCGTGACGGTCTAACCAGGACCTGCACTAACGCTGCCCAACCCAGGTCCCCGAACTTGTCCGGCCACGGGACCCCCTGCATTTCCCCAGAATCCACCGCACACCATGAACTTCTGGGGTCTGGCACCCGCCCTCCATTCCAGGTCCCCTCCCCCCCTCCCAGCACGCCACACACCGGGGTCTCCCTGGCTGGCCTCTCCGCCTCCGTCCACCCTCTCACCCGGTGAGTGCCCTCTGGCCTCCTGCTGTCACACAGAGGCTGACAGCCCATCCGCCCCTCTGTCCCCTAACTCCGGACTCAGGCTGCCACCCCCGCCCGGCCCCTCAGACCCAATAGGCCACAGCAGACCCCCGGCCTCCCCCTCCAGCGGCCCCCCCGCCTTCTGTAACTGGCCCAGGCCAGCCACACCCTGACACCTTCCTGCTCACCTGCACACCTGCCCCCTGCCCCCAGGCGCTGCTCTGTCCCTGTCCAACCGTCCTCTCCTGCCACAAGCCCAGCCTAAGTTCCCATCAGCCACCCTGGACAACTGCAGCGGCGGCCTCTCCCCCCGTGGTGGCCAGAGCTGACCTTCTGCACGGGGTCTCAGATCCAAGGTCTCACCGCTTCGCTGAAAAGCCGCCCACGGGTCCCCAGGCACAGAGCGCGGAGCCCAGACGCCCTCTGGTCTGACCCTGCTCTGCTCTCTCAGTGGCCCCCTCCCTCAGCTTCAGCCAGGCCAGCTTTCTTTCTGCGTGGGGCCAGGGGCCTCGGCCAGCCTGCGTCCAGGGCGAGCTTTGCCCCTGCGGGCCCCTCTGCCTGGAGCCCCTTCCCCCGGGGGGGCTGCCTTTGCTCAGAGAGCCGGCAGGCGGTCCTGGTCCCCATCACTCTGCATTCCCTCGTCCTGCTTTGCTTTTCACCCGCCCACCCGGCCACGGGGCCCCACGGGTTGGTCTGTGCACTGTCTGAGTCTGAGCCCCCTCGCAAGAGCGGAAGCCCGACGAGGACTGGACCATATGGCCCAGCGCCCGGCCCACGGGAGGCGCTCAGCAACGGAGTGGACGAGCCGCACCGCGCGAGGAACGACCACGGGGGACAGGGCGCAGTCCTCCGGACCGCCGGCACCCTGGAGGGCCGGCGCGCGCACGCCCGTCCTCACCACGGACAGTGCACGTCCCGTGGCCCAGAGTTGGGTGCCGACTGTCCCTGCCATTCCCCAGGCGCGGGCCGACCGTGTCCGGCCGTGGGAGGAAACTCATCATTCCTTCCCGGACCCCGCGGCCCGGTCTCAGCCACGCAGCCGCGCGTGCGGGGCTCAGGGCAGCAAACACAGCCTCTCCCTGGAAACGCGCGGGCCAGACCGCCCTGCATGCGAAGGTCCTGCTTTCGAGGGCCACCGGGACGGGCCGCCCCAGGGCCGCTCCACACCTCCCCGGGGCTTGGCTCACGGGGAAGGACCTGCGGCCGCGCACCGGGCCCGCCTCGCCCTCCGGGGGAGGCCGAGAGAGGAGCCGGGCGCGGGCAAAAGCCGCTCCCCCAACGCTGGGGCCTCTTCGCCTGCACGTGCCCCTCACCTGCGCGAGCCGGGCTGGGGGCGCGGGCCCTGCGCGGCCAGGGGCCAGGGGTGAGCGGGGTCCGCCGAGCAGCGGCGCGCGAGGCCCAGGCTTCGGGTGATCGCCTCGCGCCCGCAGCCCCGGCGCCGGCTCCGAGGCCCAGGTGACGATGACGCCGCCGAGCGGCCGGGTGCGCGGAGGTAGCTAGCAACCAACAGCAACCCGCCTGGCACGTCCTCCCCTGTCCGTCACGGAGACCCGCCTTTCCTGCCCGCGCCGCTTCAGGATTGGCCCTCCAGCTGGCCGCTCGGTCCGTCGCGGGAGCTCATTGGGCCGTTCGGCTGTCTTTCGGGAAGTTCAAGCGTGGGAGGAGCCGCGCAGACCCAGGGCCGCCGCGGCGGCGGACTACGGATTGGACGTGGCTGGAGGGGGCGGGGCCTCACCGATGTGGGCGGAGTCCGAGGGGGACGTGGGGGAGAGGGGCGGGGCGTGGGGACGCGGAGGCTGCGCGGTTCCCGCCCCCTTCCCCAGGCATCCCGGGCTACCGCGTCGTCCACGGGCTTCCAGGCAACCCTGACTCCCACGCAAACCCGGAAATGTCTATATTTCTAGTGTGCCGAGACTTTTTTCATAAGTAAATGTGAAATTTTGTCTCTTCGGCTTTTTCTGCGCGTTTTTCTTCATTAGTGTGTTAGGATGGTGAATCACACTGATTTCCAGACGTTAAGCTAGCCTTGCATACGCAGGATGAACCCCCCGTACCGTGATGCTGCACCCTCTTACACCCTTGGTATCCACTGCTGGCTTCGGTCCGCCAATGCTTCGTCCAGGGTTTTTCCATCTGGGTTCGCAAAGGGCATTATAGTCCGCAGACAGACCACAGTCGGAGCCGCGAGACAAACTCTAACACAAGTTTGACGTTTTTAACAACGAAGTTTAAGTCATACAAAATGTCATCTCCCTGCACCGATTACAGTAGGTAATAACAAGAAAAAACCCACCTTTAAATAACCCTGAACAAAAAGTAAGTTACTAGGAAAATTATACAAAGTATTTTGAACTGAATAGAAATAAATCAGAGTCCACGGGAGGCAGCCACAGCAGCACAGAGGAAAAGCTAGGACTTTCATGCACTCATGTTAGAAAAGAATAAATGCCTCCAATAACCACCTGAGCTCCTACCCTAAAGGAGAAATGAACACCATGCAGAAAGAGCAGAAACCAATGACGCACAAAACAGAAAAGCTGTAGAAAAATAAAACCAGAAGCTAGTTCTTTGAAAAGATCAATGATGTTCATGAACTTCTAATCAGACTAACCAAGAAAAAGAGGAAAAAACTGTGAATATCACAAACTACAGATCCTACAGAAATTAAAAGGACAATTTGACAACTTTCATAATATGGACTGATTTCTTAAAAGACACGTTACTGAAATTCACAAAGCGTGTAATCCAAAGAGTCTGTATCTACTCAAGAAATGGAATTTTGTTAAAAACGCTGCAATTAAGAAAATCACAGAACCATTGAGTTCTGCTGGGGGCAGCTTCCAAACGCTGTGGGGCGGAAGGGTGCCTGTCCCCGAGTCGAGAACAGACGCCCCGAGTGTGCGTGTGTGCCCTTCCACCGTGACACCGACACACGCACCAGGAGCGGCTCTGGGAGGCGACGGGGTTTATTCCGGGAGAGGGAGGAGCCTGGCTCCGAGGGCGCCCCGCACAGCCTGCTGCACTCGGCCAGTCCCCACGGAGGGAGCTGCTGTGGGTCACCCCAGGGACTGGCCGAGGGCCACTCTGCAGAGGGAGGTTCTGAGCTCAAAACCCAAGATCCAGGCAGTGACCCCAAATCCCCACAAAACCCCTGGTTTCCCTGCTCCCCAGGGCGAGGCAGGCTGGGGTTTCCTCCAGGGGCCCCCAGGGCTTGCCCCCTGCCCGCCCGCCCACTGCCAAGGCCAAACAGCCGGCCCCTGGGGGAACGGGGGTGCGGGGAGACTGAGGTAGCCCTAGGGCCTTCCCCTCTGGGTCCGCACCCAGACAGCAGCTGCAGGGCGAGTGCCGACCGGAGCCTGGTGTGCAGTCAGGCCGCCCCCTCCCCTCCGGTACGGGCCCCCCAGGGTTAGAGGAGCTGGGCCCAGTCTGTGCCCTTCGGGCACCGGGCGGCTCAGTGCGGGTCGGTCAGCGCTCCATCGCCGGGCCTCCCCTCCTGCCCTGTCCCCCCAGGGAGGCCACGGGGTGCCCTCTGCCCCTCTGAGGGGCCTGACGGTGTCTGCAGATGGCGTGTGGTCAGACCAGAACGCCGAGAGGCTGGAAACCCAGCAGCCCAGGGCGCGCCGGCCACCGGTCTGAACCAGAGACGAACTCCTGATTCTGCCCAGAACCGGCCACGCTTGGTGCATCCTGCCCTCCCTGCGAGCTTCCTCCCCCCCACCCCGGCCACCACGCCCACCACGCCCCCGAGGGGCAGTCACGGCTCTGGCCAGTCCGTGGGCTCCTCCTAGCGTTCCAGGATGGCGCGTCCACGCGGAGCTCCCCAGGCCGGGCGGCTCCCTGCACCCAGGCCTTGGAGGGGGGGGAGAGGCCGACCCCAGACACCCGGGCCTGAGCACACCCCACTGTGTCAGACAGAGTGGGATCGCGGGGTCCCGGGAGTCACAGGACAGGGACGCCAGGCCCGCACGCTCACGGGTTTAAGAACGCAAACGCCGACGGCTCTGAGCCGGGCTGCTCCTGGGCTGCCGCCCTCGGTGCCAACGTCCACGGGGCGTGGGCGGGCTCCTCCTCGGCGGGCCCTGCCTCCGCCAGGCAGGGGCGGGCCACCAGCTCCATGCCGGCAAACAGGGAGCCACGGCTGTCCCTGGCCACGGGGCTCCACAGGCAGCCGCCGGGGCCCGGGCCGAGCTCCGGTGCTCCGTGCGGGGTGTCCGCACCTGCTGGGCCCCACTCAGACCCGGCCCCCTGGGGTTTGGAACCTGCCAGTCTGGTCTCGACCTCCGGGGTGTCCCCAAGTGCTGGGAGGGGGCACTCGGCCAGGGGAGGAGGGGCTGTAGGGCCCTTGGGGGACAGCAGGGCTGAAGTCAGAGGCTGGAGAAACGCCTGGCCCCCCGAGAAAGGCACGGCGTCAGCCAGCAGGTCCGACGGGCCTGCGCAGGCGGCAGCGGGGCTGGGCTCCAGCAGGGGCCTCTGCGCAGGGCGGTGCTGGCGGCAGGAGGCTTCCAGGTGCCTCAGGATCTGGCCGGCGGGAGAAGAGGGGCCTTGTGAGGCGCAGAGGGTCCAGGGCCCTGCTGCTCAGGGCCGCGGCCTTGCACGGGGCCCCGAGCGGCTCGGACGCCAGGCCACACCGTGTGTGCCCACGGACGCCAGTGACCTGCCTCCCTCCCCACCCGCTGCCAGTGACCGGTCTCACCGCCGCCGCCGCCCCTGCTGCACGAGGAGCCCGGGCAGGAGAGGCAGCCCCGAGAGAACAAGTGTGCCCGCTCCCTCGCCCTTCAGGGAGACCCCCGGGGGCCCGTGGTGATGTGTGCTCCTGTGCGCGGCCACACTGCTGCCCCGGCGCCCTGACGAAGGGTGACTCAGGGGCCAGCGCCCAAGGGTCCGCACTTCCAGTGACCGCACAGGAAAGGGGCAGAGGCTGAGGGACGCCGACGGGCAATGGCGGCGTGGGGCCCGGCTGTGGGGAGAGAGTCCAGGCGGCCTCCGCACAGCCCGGGCACACGCACGGAGGGGGCGCCGGGCGGGGGCACAGCTTCTGCCCTGAAGGAGCTGCGGGTCTGGGAGCCGCGCACAGCCCCGGGAACCGTGGGTGCCACAAGGTGGGAAAGAGCAGAAAAGCCATCCAAGCAGTCAAAGAGAGCTTCCTGCAGGAAGCTGCATGTGAGTGGAAGCCTGTGGGAGGGGAAGTGGTCTGCAGGGCACGGCTGCTAGGCAGCAGTGGGGGCCCCGAGGGCAGGGCCGTCCGGGCGTTACGGAAGGACAGAGGCCAGGGGAGCCTGTCTGGAGGAGACCGGAGGGACGGGGTGTCCCCCCCCGCTCCTCTGGGCCCCGGCTGCTGCCCACCTTGGCAGCCTTGTTGGTCACGGACCCGGGGCAGCCCGCGCTGAGCTCCTGCAGGCACGGCCGGGCGAGGAGCAGGATGTGCTCCTGGGGCAGCAGGTCCGTGCGCCCCAGCGAGGCAATGGCGCTCAGGGCTCTCTGTGGGCCAACGGGGGCGGGGTCAGCAGGCTCCGCCCCAGAGGGCCGGAGTCCCCAGTGTCCCCTGGGCTCACCCCCTCCCACCCGTCCCCCGGGCAGCCCCCGGCAGGAGGTCCATGGGGCCGCCGCGCTCAGGGCGCCCTCACCATCTGCACGTGCTCACTGGTCCCGGCCAGGCGGCGGGTCAGCAGCTCCAACACGGCCTCGCAGTTGAGCAGCCCGCACCTGCGGGAAGGGGGCACCTGGGCAGGGCGGGCGGCGGGGCCCTGCCCTCCGTGGGCGGGGGGCGCGGGGCAGCGGCAGGTGGGGGCGGGGTGCCGGCCGGGGCTCACTCTTTGACGAAGCATTGCGCCTCCTCCTGGCTCAGGAAGTCGCGTGGCCCCTGCGTCACCGCCTGGACCAGCCTCAGCTCCTGCTGGCAGTCACTCAGGGCCGCGGCCTCGACCCTGCCGGGGCACAGCGGGTCAGGGCAGGCGGAGGGCCCCCCCCCCCAGACCGTGCCCCGGTAGGAGGGGGCCCAGGAGGAGCGCTCGCTCACCTCTCGGCCAGGTCGCTGGGCGCCCGGCTGGCCCCCGAGGGGCTGTCGCTGCCCGACCGACTGCCCGAGTCCGAGGCCTTGCTCCGGCCGCTGTCCTGGGAAGAGCTCCGAGAGCCCAGGCCACCGCCCTGCTCGTCCCAGCCCCCGCCGGCCTGCCCAGGCCGGTGCCTCACAGCTGGAAGAGACGCAGGGACTGCAGGAGAGACCCAGGAAGAACCAGGGCGGGGGCCTGGTCCCGAGATGCGGACAGGGCAGCCGCCTGGGCTCCGGCTCCAGAAATGGGACGAGGAGCCAGGGCAGGGCGGGCGCGGCCCCACGCGGGGGTCAGGGTGGAGCTGCCCGCCGGCCTCTGAGGAGCGGGGACCGCAGGGGCGCCCACCTCCCCACCCCGGGCCGCTCACGCGGCGCAGCTGACAGCAGGTCCGGGCACAGTGCCGGGCGCAGGGGCGGCACCAGTCTGCACTGCATGAGGCCGCCCCCGAGGCCACCGGGCGGTGCGGGGCACGGAGGGTGGGCTGCCGTCTTGCCCCCCCCCCCGCCCCGCCCAGAGCTGGAACCTGGGTCCTTACTGGTGGAGGGACCTTGTCACGCGCTCCACCTGCCCCAGCCAAGGTCAGGAAGGAGCCCCTGGGGGGGAAAGCCAGCCCCCCAAGAAAGGGGCCCCCCAGATACCTCGGGCCCCGGGGAGCGCATTCCCAGGAGTGAGCTGGCCGTGGCCGGCGGAAGGCGGCACAGCAGGCTGGTAGGCATCACCCCGCAGCGGGGGCCCCTGGGTGCCGGGGCCCTCGGGCCCGGGGCGCACAGCGTTGGCTACCACCTCTGCGGCCTTCTGGATGGTGGAGAGGAAGGCTTCTCCGGCAGAGCCTGCGCCAGAGGAACAGGGACATGGCCTGGCCCCAGGCTTGTCCCCCCACATGCCCCCAGGTCGTGGGGGCCACAGCTGCTCCCTGCTCAGGGCCCAGGGTACCCGCTGTCGTAGCAGAGCAGAGGCCTCCTGGCGGGGACTAGGGCCCTTCCAGAAGCTTCCCACGAGCTCCCCTCAGGGTACCTGCAGGCCCGCCGGAGCCCACGGCCGAGCCCGGGCCACCTGGGACCAAGGGGCCCCCCTCGGACTCCCCCTCAGTGGCCACTCGGGGGCAGCCCCTGGCCAGGCCGGGCTGGGGCTCCCCTCTGGGAGCGCCCTGCGGGTAACCATGCTGCCCTGGAGGCAGACCCCTCCAGCAGGCAGGGCTCCCGCAGCGGTGGGCCCCCCATGTGCCCCCAGCAGCCTGGCGGGCCGCGTCCGAGGGTCACCGCCGGACCGGCCTGCCCTTGGGCACCTCTGTCCCAGCCAACCCGGCCCCCGCCCCACCCGGAGCCCACGCGGCACTCACCGGTGCGGCCCTGGTCCTGGCTGTAGCCGAAACCCTGGAGGGTGCTCAGGGGCCTGGACTGGGCGCCCATGCCTGCAGGGGGGACAGGGTCACCCTGCTGCCCGGGGGTGGGAGCCGCCCCCCGCCCCGGGGACCCTGTGTGGGCTGAACCAGGCTGCCTACCTGCGGGAGGCAGGGCCCCGGGGGCCTGGGGGGCAGGAGCGGGGGCCGGGCTGTCCGAGAACAAGGCGCTCCCCAGGTCCTAGACAAGGGGGTGGGGGGTGCTCAGTGCAGCCGCAGGCCCGGCTGCACCCCTTCCCGCCCTGCCCTGCCCCAGGGGCCACACTCGGGCTCTGGTCGCACAGCAGGAGCGCGGCTGGGGCCCCGGGCTCACCTGGGCGGCCGCCCGCACTTTCTGGTACAAGCTGTTCCCGTGGAGTGGGTCCGGGGGCCCCGTGAACACTGCAGGTGGGCAGGTAGGTGGGGCTGGGTCACTCCCCAGTCGCAGTCCCGTTCCCTCCACCCCGACACCCCCGCTGGGGCGCGCCTGCAGAACCGCAGGCACAGCCTCGAGTCCCCTGGGCAACGCCCCCTCCTGGTCCAAGTCCCTGCCGCCACCCCCAGGCCTGGGGAGGCCCCGAGTCCCCGGGTCCCAGAGCACCTCTGCTCCTGGGACAAAGCCCAGGGAGTCCCAGACCCCGCCTCCTCCAGCACCCCCCGCCCCACGCCTGCAGCCCCTCGGCCCCCCGCCCCACGCCTGCAGCAGCCAGACCTCCAGAACGTCACCATGGCAACTCCCCACCCCACTGCCATCTGCTACCTAACTGCCCTTTTGACGTACTCCGTCCAGAGGTGACAGGAATGGGGTCTTGTCCACCTCAAACCCCTCCAAAAGTCCCCGAGGATTTGAGGATACAGCCCAATAACCCCACGGTCCTCATCTCGGCCTGGAAGGCCCCCAGGGCCCCGCCCCAGCTGGACGGGCCAGCTGCTCCCCAGGGCACTGCAGGGGCCTCACTCGGCAGCCCCCCCGCCCCGCAGACTCAGTGTGCATGGGAGCACGGGCGCCCATCCCCTCCTCGCCGGCGCCCCTCACTCCCCGCCCTCGGGTGTCAGCCCCACCCGGGCGGCCCCCCCTCCTCCCCGTCTGCAGACGGCGGCCCCGTCTCCCGCCAAGGCTGCCGCCGGAAGCTGAGCAGCGAGTGGATGGCGAGCCCTCCCTGCTGTCCCGTGTGGCTCCCACCTTCCCCGCGGGGCCCAGGACGTGAGCTGCAGGGGGCCGGCGCCGGATGTCAGACTCTCGGCCTCTCCCGTGCTGGGGCACGGCCATCTGCTCAGCGTGTCTGTCCCACCCCCTGGCGGCAGGGACAGGCCCACACACCCCTCTGGGTGCCGTTGCCCTGGCAGCTGTGGGCACCACACGGGGGCCTCGGGGGACAGCTGGAGGACTCTGGGTGCCAACAGAGACCCAGCACGGTCGGCTGCGGGCCTCCGAGAAGCGGGGTGGGCGGGGGTGCGGGCAGCCTCGCTGAGCTGCCCTCTCGGCCCAGGGCCCCCCTCCCACGGCCCTTCCGACAGCAAAGGTTTCTGCGTCCCCGTCTCAGGCCCCGGGAGCCGCTCCGCGGGGAGCCGGCCCTGGCAGGGGAGGGCTGGGCGCTCACCGAGCACCCACTGTGCGCGGGCCGGGCCCTGGGACAGGCGGGCAGGAGGGTCGGCCTGCACGGGCCCAGCAGGACCCGGGCGGTGCAGTCGGCGGCAGCACGGCGAGCGCGGAGGCCGAGGGAGGCCCTGGAGGACTCAGAGCAGGGACGCAGCTTGGGGACGCTGGACGAGGGGGGCCCACCGCAGGGGGGGGGCCGGGGCGTCAGATGCTGACACCAGGGAGCCCAGAGCGGAGCGTGGGCGAGGGTGGTCCCGGGGGCGGGGGCCAAACTGGGACTGGGGGACTCGGCTGAAACCTTCCCCGGCCCCGCCCCCGCCCCAGGACCGCGCACCGCTTCCGGGCCGCACCTGAGGCCTCCTGGATGTAGGCGGGGTTGCGCTTCAGGGTGAGCAGGAAGGAGGGGGAGCCGTGACCGCACAGGTGGAGCAAGATCTTCAGCACCTGGGGGGGGGGGGCAGGCACGTGGGCAGCGCCAGGCCCAGAGGGCGCCGCGGCTGCCTCCCTCCACTCCCGCCTCACCACCCACGGGCGTGCACTCAGCCCCGACGGGACCCCGGGGTGGGGTGGGGGTCCGCGGGGGCGGCTCCCAGCCTCACCTTCAGCTTCACGCGCCCGGAGCCGCCGTGCAGACGGCTCAGGAGGTACTCCAGCAGGCACTGGCTGCTGCCCGGGGACTCGTGGGAGATTTCTGGGAGGCACTCGGGTTAGGGAAGGAGCGGCTGGCCGTGGCCTCCCCTCACCGACCCCCTCGGGGCGCCCCCCCAGCCCAGGCCGTGGTTTCGGGAGCGTGGGTGGCCCCACGTCATCAGGCGTGTGGCCTTCAGACCCGCCCACACCGGGGTACCCCGGTCAAGAGCCACGGGTCCCCAGCATCGGGGCCCGGGGGCCTGCGTGGGGACACGGGAAGGATACTGGCGATCTCCTCGAACAGGTAGCCTGGGCACGGCGCGTCATCGTCTGACGTCCCCTTCAGGAGGACCGGGAGCTGGAAGGCAGCGAGAGCCCTGCCTGTGAGTGGCCCCTGTGCCCAGGGGTGAGCCCGCGGCCACCAAAGGGGCCAGCTGTCCCCAAGGGGCTGTCGGAGCCCTCGCTCTCGGGGCTCCTGGAGGCTCTGGTCTCCACGCATCTCGCAGTCGGCGCGCCGCCTGGTCAGGGCCGCTGGGGAGGACGGCGACAGCCGGCAGGAGCCTCCCTTCTGGGAGGCCACGGTGACCAGCCACCCTGCTTCGGTCGGGACACGACTCGGCCCCCCGGCCTCTGTGCTGATAGGCGGACAAGACAACTTCGAGGCACCGGTACTACACCTGCCTGTCAGCTGGCCAAAACAAAAAAGCAGGGCGTGGGCCCTTTTCTGCCCAGGGGGCCGGAAAGGGCCCACCTTTCTGGAGCACCGGCCAGCAATGTGACAGAAGCCCTAGGCCTGCCCCCAGCCCCAGCCAACTGGTGGGAACAGGCCCCACAGCCACAAGCCACCCGGGGAACAACGGTGCCTGTCTGCGCTTGTTCATGACACGGCACAGACGCCCTCACGCCACCCGCTGGCTGGTCACCCCGAGCGCAGAAACCGGAGCCTGCGTTTTGGGGTGAGCCTCGGCGGGAGACGGGGCACGAGGCCTCAGGGACACTCAGAACGAGGCAGGCCCCGGCCTTCAGCTTGAATGGCAGCGGTGGGGCGTCCCACGCACCTGACTGCCGCGCAAGGCCGTGTGCGCACACACCACGGACCCCACCCGCCCACCGAGACCCACGGGGAGCTGGCGTCTGTGGAGCCCTAGAACCCGTGGCAGGTGCGGGACCCTCAGCACTGAGAACTGGTGGGTCTTCTAGCAAGTGGGGAAGTCCTGTCCCCCTGAAACGCCCCCAAGGGAGCTCCTGGCTCCAGCAGGACGGACGTTCACTCTGGCCAGCACACCTGGCCACAGGCCCACCTTCCTCCCTTGGAGCATTTACTGGAAAGGGCTCCCAACGGCCAACACGGACCTCCCACAACTCTGGAGACCGCTCTTCGACAGGGAACCACCGGGAAGGCAGTCCCTGGGGGCGGGAGGACCCTGAGGTGGGTGCCTGGCAGCTGGCGGACACAGCCCGCCTGGTGGCACTCTGGTGGCACTCGCAGGCCCAGCCCCTCACCCTGTTTCAGGGGGCCCCACCCTTAGAAGCCCAGTGCTGTGCACGGATCGGAAGGGAGCTCGGGGCGTCCCCAGAGCCGCAACTGTTTCCCTGGCTTCCCAGACTGGTGCCCAGCTGTGTTCATGCTGCACGGGGTTCGCTACGGCTCTTTTTCTGCAAAGCTGCTTTAGACCAAGGGAGAAGAGAGAAACCAGCGCCCCTAGCTCTTTCCTGCTCTGGTTACGTTCGGGGACCTGAGTGTCCCCGGTGGACCTAACCCAGCGTTGTCCGGACCCGCCCCCGCCGCGTACACTGGGTGGGGTCCCCCAGCCTCCGCAGGGAGCGAAGGAGGAGAAGCTGGGAGGGTCACAGGGGGACAGGGGGGACACGGAGTCCGGGAGGACCGGAGCGCGGTGACCCCGGCCGGGCCGAGCAGGGATGGGGTGGCGGACGGCTGAGGCCCGGGGCGAGCCGGGGGAGGCGGCGCGCAGCGAGGTTGGGCGCCCGCACTCACCCGGTGCAGGAAGTTCAGACGGTCCCGCAGCAGCGGCGTGGCCGCCATGATGCCGGTCACCTTCCGGCCCCGCCCCGCTTCCGCCAGGCCCCAGGCCCTTCCAATCACCGCGTGGGTCTGGCCCCGCTGGCCAATCGCTAGCGTGGGGCGGGCCCTGAGGCCGACTTAGGTAAACAATGTGAGCCTGGACCAGTCCGAAGTCTCAGGTCAAAGACAGACAGCCTGCCAGCCAGTTGCAGGGCTCTTGCAGACGGCGATTCCGGAGAGGCGGAGACAAGGGCTGAATTCTGGCCAATTAGAAAGCGGAGAGAAGGTGATGGGCGGAGGACTCGACCTATCAAGGCGTTCAGTGTCGGAAGAGGACGGACCGAAGGTGGCGGCACCCACGGGTGCATGGAAGAGCCCCTCATGTCGGGGAACGGGGCGGTGTGGGGGCGCGTGCGAAGCCGCCTGCGCGCCTTCCCAGAGCGCCTGGCGGCCTGTGGGGCCGAGGTAAGAAGCCGTCAGGCGGGGCGGGGCCTGCGGGGCGGGGCGCGTGGCCGGGCGCTGACAGGGGCGGGGCTGGGGTCCCCCGGTGACCCTCTCCGCGCCGCCCCGACCCCAGGCCGCGGCCTACGGCAGGTGCGTGCAGGCGTCCACGGCCCCGGGTGGCCGCCTGAGGAAGGATCTCTGCGCGCAGGAGTTCGAGGCCCTGAGGAGCTGCTTCGCCGCCGCGGTACGTGGACGCCCCCGACCCCCACTTCCAGGCTCGGCACGTGCGAGGGACCCGCCGGCCCCGCTTCCCGCTTCCCTTCCCCTGGGTTCGTGTCGGGCGCCTGCTGGTGCTTCCGACGCTTCTCGCCGACCCACCCCCCCGCGCGACCGCGGAGCCTGTGTATCCGTCGGGTGGGGGCGCACCTGCGGCCGCTCCGCGAGGGCGGCGAAGCGGGTGGAGGAGCGTGCGGAAGCCCCCGCTGCGACTTGGCCACCGCGGCATTTGCCACCCACGCGTGTGTGCCGTGTGCGGCTTCAGCCGCAGGGGCGCCCAGCACCTACCGGGCTGCCGGGTACCCCACTGCCCGCGCGACAGCCCCACTTTGCAGCGGTTGAAAGGAGAACCCGTCCGCCGCGTAGGCCGGGTGGAGGGGCCTGAGTGGGAACAGTGTGTTCCTCTCCTGGTTCTGGATGGGGGGGGGGGGGCTGCCTGCAGGCATCCAACAGCGAGTCTCTTCTGCTTCTGAACCCCGCCCCCCCCCGTTTCCCGGTCCCCCACCCATCAATTCTGGTGGAAGTGGTCAGGCCCCGTGGGCGGGTGAAGCGTTAGTGTCACGCTTAAACACATTTGTGTCCTAAAGGGCGTGGAGGGCTGGGGTTGGGGGAGGCGTGTCGGGGCAGCCCCGCGCAGGGTCTCGGTGGGCCCAGGGCGGGCCCTGATGGCAGAGGCTGGCTCAGCGGCATTCCCAGGGCCTGACCCTCCAGAACCACCCGAGCGAACAGCCGAGAGGACGTGATGCCCGCGTGTCCTGCTCAGACGGTTCACGCACTCACGTCCCCGGGGCTCAGGGAACCCCCGGCACCTTCCTGGGGTTTTCAGATCGCTGGGGCGGGGCACGCCGGCCTCCCCGTGCCACCCCCAGGCGGCCCGTCACCGGTCTCAGACCCGTGCAGGCCGGCCGTCGGAGTGGCGCTTGTCCCTCAGACTTGCTCCTGCCTGTTGGTGGCCTCCGAGCCTTACAGCCCTTCCCAGGGGCCGGGCCGGGCCTCCCCGCACTCGGGGCCCCTGGGGTGAGGGGAAGGTCCGCCAGCCCCGCTGCACGGAGGTGCTCCTCTGCCCCTTTGGCGGTACCAGGGAGGGCCTGGTCCCCTGTGACTTACCGTCTGCTCCCCTGCCCCTGCCCCTGCCCACACACACGTCCCGCAGGCCCTGCCTCGGAGCCCCGTGCTGCCTCGGGGCCGCCCCTCACTGTAGGGGGTGGGGGCGGGAGTGGCCCTCTGAGTGGGCAGCACACAGATGAGCCCGTTCTGCCTGCAGCCCAGGCCGGCAGGGCTCCGTGCCGGCCGCGCCCTGTGAGCCCAGTGCCCGGGCACGCATGCCGGCATCTCTGCCCTCGGTGTCCCGTGTGGGAAGGGCCCCTGCACGGTGCACACGGCGCCTGATGCAGGGAGCGGGGGGCTCCCATCAGCCAGGCCCACACCCCGGCTTTCTGTAAGGTGTTTGCTGAAAGGGGCGTCAGGCGAGAGAGTTTTCTTTCTTTGGAGCCACATCGAACGTGGGAACCACCCACTAAGACAAAATGTTTTGTCTTTCAGGCCAAGAAGACCCTGGAGGGAGGCCGTTAGGACAGACGGAGGACTCAGCGCCCGGGGGGGGCGGTGGTGCTGATGGCCCCGAGGCCAAGCACCCGGACACCTGAGGCCCTGAGGGCTGGGAGGACGCCCGGTGGGGCGCGCCATGGACAGAGGGGCGGGGCCTGGCGCCCCGAGCACGAGGGTCTGGGCAGCGGACCCCTCGGGTCACGCGGAGCCCCCGTTCCGTGCGGGGCGTGCGCGGGGCTGGCCTCGCCCCAGAGAGCCTGACGGGGCGCGGGCTGTGGACGCACCGCCTGGGGACCCTCGCCCTCCCGTCTCCCCAATAAAGTGTCTTTGAGTCTCACGGAGCCTCGAGGCATGACCCCCCGCCCCCAGGACACACCGGAGGGAAAGGACCGCCCCCGCCCCCCCCCGCGCGGGGGAGGGGCCCGCCGCTGGAGGGGAAGGAGGGGTCTTCCGCAGAAGGTGGGGACAGCGAGGCTGCAGCTGCAAGAGCCGTGAGGCTGCAGGTCCCTTCCCACGTGGGGTTGCCCACCGCCCTTCCTCAGCCGCCAAGGGAGTCGGCCAAGTCCCTTCCGACCTGTCTGGTGCCAGGCAGGGCCCCCCGCCCGAGAAGAGTGCCCGGGGTCCCCCAGGACCTGCAACAGGCCCAGTCTGCGGTTCCTGAGCGCCACCTGCTGGGCACATGCCGCTGCTCCAGGAACCCCCCGCCGCCGGGGGGCGGGAGGTCACCCTGTCCTTGGGCCGCACCTGCCCTGGCATCCCTAAGCCCCAGGATTGAGGCCTGCACTTCCCTTTCCTCTGAAGACTCGGCTCCACAACTAGCCCGGTGTCCCCAGCAGTGAGGCCCCCAGGTCTGAGACGTGAGGGTCCCTCGGACGCAGGTCCCTGGCTGGCCCTGGCATGCGGGCAGTCTCCTGTCACAGCCACCACTGGAATGCAGGCCCAGACACCAGCAGAGTGACCCCTGACCCCTGCCAGGAGGGAGGGAGACACACAGACAGTCGGATGGCTGGAGGGAGCGGTGGGCCAGACCTGCCAGCTCACGCCCAGCGGGCACACTCAGCCTGAAGCTCGGACCCCCTCCTGCCCCTTCCCACAGTCCACGCCGACATCTCACAGCTCCTGGTGTCTCCACTGTGCGTACCGCCCCCCCCCCACCCAGCCTCCTCCCAGCTCAGGCGCCCCTCCTGCCATCCTTTGACTCCAACCCAGAGGGCGAGGGAAGCCGCCGCCCCCGCCCCCCCCAGGGCTACTGTGCGCTTGCTCCACTCACCGGCCAGGGGCACCCCCAGCACCAGCCTCAGCTCTCGGGGCCTCTGTGAGCAGTGCCCCGGCCCTGTACACCCCATGGGCCCTGTGCACCCCACCCAAATTTCCAGGGTTCAGGAGGAATCAGCTTGGCCTCCAGAAAGTTCCGTTTATTATTCATTTCTGCTTGGCAAGCTGCCTGGTACATAGAAATGACAATAAAAAGTAAAACCAGTGAGGCTGAGGCAGCGTGGTTCTCCTGGGCTGCAGCGCCCTCTCGGCGGGTCTGGGACCAGAGCACCCTCCCCACCACCCTGACAGGAGCCGGGTGCACGTGGGAGGCAGCGGCGAGGCCCTGGGTTCTCGTAGGACGGCTGCTGGGGGCCACCGTCATTATTTCTGCTCCGTGAAAGCACACAGGACACGGAACCCCCACAACCTGGCAGGTGGGTGTGCCCCAGCGCAGACGTGAGGGCCACTCCCACGCGCCCCAGGGGCAGCTCCCGGGACAAGTCTCGGTTTGCGCGGAGCCCCAGCCGTGCGCCCGGCGCGGGCCAGCGAGCCCCAGGCGGCGGCTCTGACTGCGCACAGGCCCCCAGGGCTGCCGGGCCTGGTCACAACTGTCAGCCGTGCGGAGTCTTCGCCGGCTGACCCACCTCAACCCCCACCTCGCTGACCGGCCCCGAGTGGTGGTGGTCTCAGAGACCTCGCGGGGAACCGAGGGGAGCATGGAGCAGGGCCATGTGGCAGGCAGGTGCGTGTGGCCTCTCTCCGGTGCCCGGGGACAGAGCAGCCACCCTGCTGCGGCCCTCAGACAGGAAGCAGGCTCGCAGTGAAGGCAGGACGTTTATTCGGATTTTGTGCAACACTCAGCACGCCAGCAAGGGCAGCCCGCGGCACCTGGACGTGGGAGGCCGGGGCTGGTCTGGGCAGCCTCGTGCCCGGACAGGCAGCACCGGCCCTTGCCCGTGGGCCCCACAGCTGTGGGGCACCCGCAGTCTCGGGGTGTGGAGGGGCGGCCATGGTCAGCTTGGTCTGGACAGGTCGGGAGCTGCGTCCGTGACGGCAGAGACACCTCTGGGGAAGGACACAGGCCACACACGCTCGGACGCCCCTCTGGAGCCGGAGCTCCGGGACTGGCCCCCCCACGTGCTCCAGGGCCGCGGCAGCCCGGCCAGGCCTGGGTGGGCCCCCTGGCCAGGAGGCCGGCGGGCACTCAGGAGCGCTCAGGCCTCCTCCCGGGCCCCTGGCCACTGTTTGATCTGGCGGCTGTGCACCACCCGCAGGGCGCCCCCCGCGGCCTGGCGGAGCCGGGCGTCCAGGGCACCGTGGAGGTCGCCGGCCTGCACGTCGGACAGCGGGTGGAAGCTGAGGATGAGCTCCTGCCCGGGGGCCGGCCCGCCGCCTTCGCGGGCAGCCACATCCCGCCGTCGCCTGCGGAGGTCGGCGCCGACCTGGACTTTCAGGTCTCGGTTGGGCTTGGCGTCGTCCGGCTTCGGAGCTCCGGGCACAGCCTGTTCGGGCCTGAGCTCAGGGTCCGGTCTCTGCCCGGGCGCTTGGGTGGCCGCGTCCTCCCTGGGAGCGGGCACTCGGCCCCCACCGAGGGCGTCCTGTCTTGCCTCGGGGTGGCCTCCCTGAGCCCTGGCAGAGACAGCCAGGCGTTCCGACCGCCAGGACGTGGCCTGGGCCCCCGGCGCCGCCCCTCCCGACCTGCTGGGCTGGCCTGCTGGCCTCTGGTCCCGGCCCCCGCGCTGGGGCTCCACGCGAGCGTCCCCAGCCTTGGCCCCCGCTGCCACTGCGCCGGCCTCCTCCTGCGCGTGGGCCCCGGCGGCAGCCCCCTCCTTTCCAGGCTGGTCCTTCTCCTGGGAGCCTCGGCCGCCCACGTCCCGACTCTGCCCGGGGTGGTCCCCGGCGTCTGGCCTCTCTGGACCCCCAGGCGCCCCTGCGAGGTCCGACTCCGGGGCCCGCTCCTGCACTGCAGCCCCCTCGGGCTCGGCGTCGGCGCCCTGGCCCTGCCGGCCTTCCCTCGGCTCGGCCCGGGCTCCCTGCCGCTCGGGGTGGAGCACCCCAGGATGGCCCGCTGGGGCTCCGCCTTCAGCCCCCCTGGGGTCCTCCGGGGGGCGCTGGCTGTGTCCCTGGGGCGGAGCCGGGGGCTGCTCCGGGGCCCCGAGCTCAGGCTCCACAGGCTGCGGAGGGGGACGCGCCACCGTCCCCACGTCGGGGGCCGCCTGCTCCTTCCTCCGCGGTGCCGCCGCCCCAGGCTCGGCCTGCGCGTCCACTGCAAGGGGAGACACCGGTTCAGCGCGGAGCCGGGCGGGAGCCACTGACGCCAGGACTGGAAAAGGAACCAACTTGCCAGCAGTTCAGAAACGGGCACCACTAGAGTTGCCGGTCGGGACAGACAGCCCCGCCCACCCGCTCCCAGTTTGGGCCCCGCCCCCACCCCACCCCACCCTCCCAGTTCGGGCCCCTCCCCTCCCGGCCCCGCCCCTCCCCTCCCGGCCCCGCCCCTCCCCTCCCGGCCCCGCCCCCGGTGCACTTGCCCTCCTCCCCGTCCTGCCGCTGCTGGTGGATCTCCTTGTGCTGCTCCTCGATCACGGCCAGCAGCTTCTCCTGCTGGTCCAGGAGGCGCTTCTGCTGCACCTGCTGCTCCTTGATCACCTGCAGCAGCACGGCGTGGTCCAGCATCTCCGCCCGGCCGGCTTCTGGGGGTCGGGGAACACGGAGGGCGCCTGTGTGGGCCGCCGCGAGGTCACCGGAGCCCCGGCCAGGGCCTTCCCTGGGGCACGCTGCCGGCCCCTCTGGGGTCCGGCCGGACGGCGAGGCGTTCAGGGCGGGGGGCCTCCCGCGGCCACGCACGGGGCAGTGGCTGGTCTAACCGCCTGGCGCTCCCCCGGCCCGTGGCCAAGACGCCCCGCAGTCCCGGGGGCCCTAAGTCACGCCCTGGGCGCCCGCCGGAGCGGCCCCTGCGTGGCCCGCGCCAGCCGTCTGCGCTAGAGCGCGTTCTGAAAGGGAACGCTGGTGCTCACAGACCCCCCCCTCCAAGGGGGGTTTGAACACCAGCAGCACCGTCCCGCCTTCCCGGAGGGACAGCGGCCCCCCCCAGCCCGTGTGGTCCCACTCGGCCCGCCCCCAGGCCAGGGCGGCAGGCCCCGCACATGTGGGAGGAGGAAGGGGGGGCTGAGCCAAGGGGAAGGCCGGGTGGCAGGCGTGGCTGGGCCCAGCTGCTCCCGCTGCCCGGAGCCCAGTGTGGAGCGAGGCCCAGGCGCTGCGGCACCTGCAGCAGCTGGCCCGGGTGCAGGGCCAGGGAGCCATCTGCCTCCCACGCTCCGGCCCTGGGCCGGCGGCCGGCTGCGGGACGCCCGGGTGTGGGGCGCCTGTGACGCCTGAGTCTCAGCAGCGAGACGCCGTGGGGACGCTGCAGCTGGGCCGGCCGCACGCGCAAGTCAGAGGAAAAAGATACATTCCATAGGGAGAGCCCACCGCCCAGCGACGGCCCCGCCTGCTGGACATGCACGCGGGACATGCTGGCCTGTCCTCCCAACGGTGACCTCTGACCTGTGGCCTGCCAGAAGAGGGTGGGGTCGGCCTCCTCCGGGGGCTGCAGGGGACGGGCCCGTGAGGAGCACGCTGAGGCTGACCACGGGGAGGACGGGCCCCCCAGGCACCCGCCCGCACACCCTGAGGTCCCCAGGACGAGGAGCAAAGCCACGGTCGTGGGCCGGGCCAGTGGTCCGCACCCCTCCCTCTGACGGGGGAGGCACATGGCACCGTCCCCACAAGTTTCCGACTGGCCACCTCGGACACACGCCACCCTGTCCGCTGGCACCTCGGCCTCGTGAACGCACACTGGTCAGTGGCTCAGGGACGGCCCCGTGTGCGGCCAGCTCCCCCATCCCCAGGCAGGCCGGGCCCCGCCCTCGGAGGGCCAGCCCAGCACCGACACCAGGACAGACACAGAACCCAGGAGGGTGATGGCCGGGTGCCACCGGGACCACAGGGACCAGCCACGCATGCGGGGCGTCTGCCGTCAGGCCCTGCACACAGTGGGGCTGCACACAGCACCTCACCCCTTCTGCCAGGTGGGGCCCGATAT